TGGAAATGCTGGTGATGTTCGGCAGCAGCAGGGAGAAGAAAACAGAGCAGACGCGAAAAATGGCTGGAAGAAAGAAGGAAAGAAAAGAAAAAGGAAAAAAGAGATGAGTCAGCCGGCCTTATCCAATAAGAGTTTAACCCCTTTGAAGTTTGAAAAATTGACAATTAGGTCCATTAATAATGTTGCTTCACCATTAGGTCCCTAACCCAACTTAACGCTCTAGGAAATTTTGGGGTATTACAATTAAAGTTTAAAAGGCAAATCCAAAATATATCTAACCAAATATAAGAAGAAATTGGATTGGAATTGATTTTTATTAATTAGGAATAAATTATTAATTAAGAACAAATTAACAACTAAGAACGGACCTTGATGTTCTTAATATTCTTGTCTTTGTACTTTTAATGGTTATGAGGGTATCTCAACTATTGGGTTTTGATTTTTAGTAGGTATTTTTGTTTTTTTTTTTTAAATGTTTTTTTTATCGATATCATATGACATAGCTTACAATGTGCCACGTAATCTAATTTTTTACGCAAATGCCACCAAAGAAAAGAATTAGAGAGCTTGAGATGAAGAAGGGGAGAGCAAGAGTGGAGAAGAGGAAGAGTTGAGAGAAAGTGAAATTGATGAGAGGTTAGTGTTTTAGTATTTTATTTATTTCTACTTTTAGGATTAAGAAATTAGAAATTTAACATTAATTTTTAAGTAATCTAATAAAAATAGTGTTTTTGGACTCGGCTCGGTGGTTGACTCGGTTTGGCCACCGGGTCTGGTTGAACTAGTTGAACTCGTTCACTCGATTCGTCCAACCGATCAACTTAAAAAACAATTTTTTTAACATATATATTAAAGTTTACTATTGTATATTACTTTTATTTTATTTTTAAAAAATAGTCATTATAAGATCAACTTGAAAATCATCATTTAGATCATTTTTTATATCAAATTCTTATATTTTTAAAAATTTTGATTATTATATTATATTCAATTTTACATTTTTTATTTTATTTTAATTAAATCTTATATAAGAATTTATATAAAATTAATTAAAAATACTATATTTAATAAAATTTTACCTATATTCTAAGAGCACATGTTAAAAAATTTTATTTATTAAATATACAATTAAAATCATTAAGATGATATTGATTTAAAAAATAATTAATTGTTAAAAATTACATAAATGTTGTTTGTTTCGTTTTGTTCTATTTTATTTTATCTAAATAAATAAAATTTTGTGTAAAATGGACAGTAGCAGTGTTTGTGGTCCAATAGTGAAAACTTCAAAATGTGGGTAGAGGGAGTGGGGTTCGAATCCCCTTGTGCTCACAATTGGTTAAAAGTTTTCAAAATTTGTGAACTAGATGGTTCACCGATTCAGAAGCCAACGAATTTGATCAAGTTTTTTGAGTTTTGACCAAGTTTGACTAACTTTGATCGGATCTTATTACAACCAGGTTTATGTCATAATTTGAACCAATTCTGTGATTGGTTTTGATTCAACCAATCAGATCGATCAATTTGGTCTGGTTTTAGAACAATGAATAAAAATGAATAAAAACAAGTTCAGGTCATTTCGGGTGACCCGATTCCCTCATGACCCAACACATTTGGATTTGGACAGACTTGGCAAACGGGTGGATTGGGTCGGGTTAGAGTCGGATCAGAATGGGTAACAGGTTAAAATGGGTCATGGGTTAATGAAAACAGACCCTAACCTGCCCATCACGGGTCACGGGTCATGGGTCACGGGTTAACCTACGGATTGACCCAATTAAATCTTTTTCTTTTTTTTTTTCTATAATTTGTACCTATTATTATTTAAAGAAAATTATTCAAAATATTTCAAAAAGAAACTCAACATCTTATAAAAAGAATTTTTTTCCAATTAATTTAATGTATACATATTTATAGTTCTTTGTAATCATCTTCTCCACTTTCCTTTAAAGAAGGTTAAACTCCTATTTTGGTCCCTGAACTATTGTACGGACCTCCAACTTGGTCCCTGAACTAAAGAAATCCCTAATTTGGTCCTTGAACTATTGTACGGACCACTGAGTTGGTCCCTAAACTATTGTATGGACCCCCAATTTAGTCCCTAAACTATTATACGGATCCCCAATTTGGTTTCTACTGTTTACCAATTTAGCCCCAACTTGGTCCTTCTATTAAATAATAGCTCAGGGATCAAATTGGGGTGAAATTGTAAACAATAAGGACCAAATTGGGGGTCCGTATAATAGTTCAAGGACCAACTTAGGCCAATTATAAACAATGGGGACCAAATCGGGAGTCCGTACAATAATTTAGGAACCAAATTAAGGATTTCTTTAGTTCAAGGACCAAATCGGGAGTCCGTACAATAGTTTAGGGCCCAAAATGAGGATTTAACCTAATCAAATTCAAGAACATCACACACTTATAAATCTCAACAGCAAAAAAAAAAAAAAAACACAATAGTAGCATGACAAGGAAAAACACAAACCCCATTGGAACATATTTGTTCTGGTGGTTGCTTTTAAAGAATCAATCAATTGAATGCATCTAAGCAAAGGACAAGATCAAGTGGAATTTTAACTTGGAATGGAGAGAAAACTAAAATGCATAAATAAGTAAATAACTTACCTTGAAGGCTTTAGAGGGAAAAGTTGGTGACAAAGAGAGCACTTGTCAAACTCAAAGGAGAAAGAAAGAAAGGGCTAAGTGGACACGATGGTGATTTGGTGAGACTAAGATCTAAGTCTGAAATAATGTTAAAGACTAAAGAGAAAAAGTGGAGTCGAAGCTTGAAAGTCAAAGACTGTATTTTCAAATCTGAAGTTATTTCCAACTGCACTTATTATGGCAGCATAATTTCCAAAGACAACTATTAGTCATCATTTTAATTGTCTTACAACCTAATAAATAGGCCCTTTGAAACCCAACCAAAAACACATGACTATGTGTCATGAAATTTTCATCTCAACTATAGCCAAAACACATGACCACGTATCATGAACTCTTATCTCAACTACGGCCAAAACACATGACTTCGTCTCATGAATTTTTATCTAGGCTATGGACAAAATACATGACTCCATGTCATAAATTGTTACCCTGGCTTCAAGCACACGCATATACCTATGTCTTTTCCAAAATAAACAACTCCTTTCCAATTTACCAACCTCATCATTCACTAATGAATGACTTGGGAGAAGGGAATAGTGTAAGTATAGGTATGAGCTCAATGAGCTTAGACATCCCAAAACAGGTCATTAAGATTAGTCAAGGTTTGATTTACGTTAAATATTATCAAGGTCAAATGACTCGATGACCAAAGTTGAAGTCCCCATTTTTCTAGTCGCATGATAGTTACAGTGAGACTATGCTTAGCCGATCTCCATTTCTAAGACATTTGCTCTACTAGCCACATCATGTTTCAATTATTTCACCAAGAAGATCACATGGATACCTTTGTAAGGCCTATAAATACTCCCAAAGTCTTCTTGGTACAAGCACTTGGATCCAATTAGAGACCTTTTTCCTACTTCTTTTAAATTGGACATAATATTATTGAATTAGGCATTGGAGTGTCTACCCCAAGGTCCAACCTCGAGGCTTTGTAGGTTCA